AAACAAGCAGAATATTAACGCTACATACTCCCACGTGGGACAAAGTTTCGTGTTTACGTGCTTCGTATCCCTGAAAACTAAAATGCAATTTCGCGCTTGCATGGATTTGACAAATTCATCTGATTAGGGTGTTTTGTAAACACAAACCACACACACATATCCACACATTGATTGCTGAGCGTTCCACCCAAATTCCCTCTGTTATGATTCTTTTCCAATCAAGTGTGAGGCCTCGTACACATTGAGTATACAATATCACAATATATAATATTCAATAGTATGGCATAGAAACACTATGAAAAAGCAACACCACAAAGAATAAAACCATTTTATATTCATACAGCAGCTAGCTCAGTCGGCTAAACTGGTAGTAGCCACTGTGTGTGCCTGAATCGTGGAGATCTTTATGTCCCCGGTTCATTTCCAGTCGCTGCTCTCCTTGCATTTCAGCTGGAAGGCTGAATCAATACACGTAGCCAGGATTTTCAAACAGTGAGGGACAATATTAGGATGGACCCACTTTACGTGTAAATCCAAATAATGTGGACCCATTTTCTACAAGTTGGACCCATTTTACACAACAATATGAAAAATCTGGACCCATTTTCTAAAACGTATTATTGCCTATTTTAGGCAAAATATCAGAAATCTGGACCCATTATTAAAAAAGTGAACTCATTTTGCATAAAATTGCATAATTTGGACCCATTTTTAAAAATGTAGACCCATTCTTTGTTGACCCATAAGAAAATTTGTGTGGGACTGTCCCAACTGTCCCAATAACTGGCTACGGCATTGGGCTGAATGTAAGTTACGATAGTGCACTGTCTTTCAGATGAGACGTTTAAGCCGTTGGTCCCGTGTGCACTATGGCCCACAGGGGAGGATCCAGTAGGGGGCAAGTACCCCCATCCCCGTTTTACTACTAAATTTTAAAAAAATTTCAATGCAAATGAATGTTATGTGCTACTCACGTATTCTGAAACTGTTGTGTTAGCGCTAACCGTTAGCACCTGCGTGAGAACGCCCAATCGGTTAGCGCTAACCGTTAGCGGTATCCGGATACCGCTAACGGTTAGCAAGCGCTATCGGTTAGCAAGTTGAGCGCGTTTTTATCATCAACCAATCACACGTACGCGTTTACAATTTCCAGTTTCTTATTGGCCAGTGATTCGATCATCATATTTTTGGTATCCGGATCGGGATTTTCTCGTATGGACGCACGGCAGCTACGGTTAGCAGGATCCGGATCCTG